TGTATATATCCCGCTCTGGGGTTGAGGTGAATAAAAGAACTGTGTTGTGACCTAAATAACATGCTGTTGCTATCTGCAGAAAGTATTAAAGCATGAAATCCCGCATCCTGTATCATAACTACATGTGTGCCGTTTGTAACAAACCAAACCTCGTGAAAATCAGTTGAAAATTCAGTGAGTTATTCTATTTTACCTGTGCATACAGCTCCTTCCTCAATAAAAGTGAATGCACTGTGGAGGCGAAGCGAGACCCATCCAGGATGGCTGCCGGCGAGGACGCGCTCAGGCAGTCGATGCGGCGTCTATGTATATATGTCCATGGTAAAAACCCTCAGTACAGGAGCAGGGGTGTAAATATACAGGGCAGTTGCACTGAGGCCCACTGGGTATGGGAGCCCATAGGGAGAGAAGGCCCTCTAACATGATGTGCAGAAAATGGGCCCTTGCAAGTAATTTAGAAATGTGTCCCTGTTCAAAGTAGAACTAACATTACAAAAAGTGCTATTTGGTATATTCGCCATTGAAAAAGCAAACCCAGCACTGTGTTGGTTTTCTTTTCTTCTTCTTATTCCTTTTTGTACAATAGTCAGTGACAATCTATGACATAGTATGTTATAAAATATATGCGTATTCTGCATGAACTATTAAAAATATTCAATTAAAGGAAAGATTCCTTATTTTCATTGGCATTTTTGTCACATACATATATTCAATGATGACCTCTGGGTAATATGTGTGTTACAGTCAAAATAAAAAAAAATAAATTAAGATAAATAACAAATCATCATTATTAAATGAGACCTAGTTCATTTAAAGGTAAAATACTCTTTTTACCCATCAAGTAACCAATCACATTTAAAAATCCTTTGACAATAAAACACATGGCAAATGTTTCTTAATTAATATATTTTCCCTTGTGAACACAAATGAACATAAATATTGAAACAAGGTTGGATTGCATAATGCAACATCAACAGTGACAATACAGAAGTAACATTCATCTCTTTGCAGACATTGGGAGTTCAGAGGGAGAGAGAAAGGTGTGCTGAAATCAGAAAAAACATCAATACAAAGTAATGGAATAAAGGAACATGCTCAGTAAATTTCAATTTGTCCTTTTCAACAGGTGTATTTTCTGTTGTGTTACCTGTGCCAGACAGGAAACTGCTGGTCCAATAAGCTCTGCTTTTGGACAAAATGCTACAAAGACAGCATAACCCAGGTACACTAGATATTCCCATACTCCCAGTGCAGATTAGAGATGACTCAGTTTCAGAGTTAGGTGTGACTAAGCCTGAACATTCAAGAAAGATTTCAAACTAGTGATGTTCACGATAATAATGTACTTTTTTTTTATTTTCGCTTGGGTTTTTTTTTTAATGTTTTCTCTGCATTGTGTTTTTACTATCATTGATGTAGCTGTTTGCTCACTGCAGGAGGAGAATGGATATGATCGTAAGTCCAGATGTAGAGCGGAAGTTTTAGGGTTATACAGTTCACTAAAGGGTGAACATGAAAACAATGAGCACCAAAGGTATAAACACAAGGTAAGGCCTGAGTTTGTGGAGTTAAATTACTGTATTGCATACTGCTAATCTTAACTACACTGAAATGTTTTGTAGACTTGATATTTCCAAACCAAGAGCCACGGTCCTCCTGAATCTACACATACAGCATCATTCATGCAGACTGTTTTAGGATTCTGCGCCCAATAGGTCACTAGTATTACATATAGTTCAATGTTTCGCTTTGAGTTGGTCACATGATAAGAGGAATGTGAAGAGTAACTGCTTGTATTGAGGTAAATGCGCAGCTATAAAATGATTTCTCTCAGTGAAAGGATCATAAAGGCCCATCTGTATCTGTAAGCAGGGTTTTTCAAAACATAAACGTTTGTCGTCGTGCTGTATAACATGTGTGATAAAGGTGTACAGCCCTACTGTATATGCATTTAACAGAGATGGGTCAACAGAGCGAAAGATAATGGTAACATGAATTTTAAAAAATCATCTTTTGGCTCATCAGTCACTCAAAAAACAGCACACACACACACATGCGCACACACATACACACACGTACAACCCTAATGATTCTAAAGATATATTTCTGTCTTTATGAGTCAAAATATAACCAGCACAAAACACCTTCTGGAACAAAAGACAAAACACAGCACAGGGAAACACTTCTACACAGATTAACTACTTCTGTTAAAATATAAATATTGTTGAGAGTTGTGAGCCCTCTTGTGTGCTATCTGTAAGGTTGAGCTTAAGAGGAAATATCCACACACAACAGTAGTAAACAGGAGTTTTTGAACTGTGATCCGACAACATGCACGCCTGTAACAGTTTTTACTGTTTAGTGTGCTGTGAGCACCCGCTGTTTTGCTGTCACTGTGGAGGAAATCAAAGCTTTAAACACTCTCATTGGAGTTGTGCTCATGAACTGTCTCATCCTGGCTTTATGACACAGTCCGTTCAGTACGAGTGTCTGAAACAGCTCTCTTGTGGAATGCAGGTGACAGGGTCTAAGTCTAGAGGGGCAGCCAGTGTCCGAGCCCTTCGAAGAACCTCCGCACACTCATGACATAGAAGTCGACGTTGTGGGTGAAGTCGGTACAAATGTTGGAGTAAGTGTCCACCAGGGTGCAGTAGAGGGCCGTCCCACCTATGCTGATCACCACGGTAACCAGACACAGCAGCAGCAGGATCAGGCAGGAGTCTCCACCTACCTCATCTACAAGTACGAAATGGACAAATGTTACTACATGCATGTTGGAACCTACATTTTAAAGATGTCTCAAACATTTCGACAGACATGTTTGCATTACAGATGAGTTCAGCTGTACCGTGCTCAATGCCGTCCTCTGGCTCACTGAAGCGAACTTTGCGTTTGGAGTTCTGTTTGGTAACAGTGTCACTCGGGGGAGGCAATCCATCCAGTGATGCTCTCCTCCTTTTCAGGATGGAGACCAGACCATCTGGGGAGGAACTCTGAGGGAGACACAGAGACAAGAGAAATAACCACTGATG